CCCCCCCAAGCCTCCCAGTTAGTCAGGAAACGGACACACCCAGCATATTTGGGTCAGCCCAAAAACCGAACCTGTGCCTTTCCATATACAGACACTAAAAAAACCTGCCGTTTTACGTCCGTATTTTCTAATACCCATGGCAGCACCCTAAAGCTTGCACTTCCACAGTTGGGCCCTTAGTTTTTTCATTATTTTTGTGTTCATTATTGGCCTTTTATTTTTCTTACATTTTCCTAATTGGGTTAGTCAAATTGCCATTTCAGTTTTATTTTTAAACAATTCTGTGCCAGCTCCATGGCCTTGTGATTAAGGGAACTGGATCCCAATGACTGACAACATGATTCAAATCCCAGCCCTGGGAGCGCGAAAAACAGACTAGATGCATGTGTGTGCATGCTCACATCCTAACTGGGTGGAGAAATAAAGGGCTAGGGCCGTGATCACACCTCATTGGACAGTGCAGAATCTGTCTCTCTCACCCTCTCAGGCAAGTGCATGGGCCCTCTAGCAATTAAAAAATAAAAAACCATTGTCTCCTTGCCTCCCCCCAACTTAAAAGTTCTATCTTTAATGTTGCTGGTGTGTGGTTGCCTTCAAATTCTAAATGGTTGTCAGTATACAGACACTAAAAACACCTACCGTCTTACTTCTGTATTTTCTCCTTTTATTAGTTTGTGTATTTTGTTGGAATAGTAAGTGTTTTGCATCTTATGTTTAGTTTTTCATTAAAATTCCCTTTAGCCATAGCTTGTTACTGTTTCTTCTTTTTTTTTTTAATTTTTTCTCATGATAAGTTTGTTCTGATTCTTTTGGTAGAAAATGTCTAGGAAGTTTCCTCAAAAAGGGAATACATGTTGAGTTATGAAGGAAAACTCAATTTTAGTTCATTTTCCATTGTTTATGGGAAATTTATTCTGTTTCTGAAAGCTTCTTACAAAGAAAGTATTTCTTTGATTTCAGGAATTGCATTAAGATGGCTAGGTGTGTGACTTGTTATTTTTTTCTTGGCATTCTATAACCTTTTGGATGTGAAAACTTAAGTTGTTAAATGAAGCTTGGGAAATCATTGTGCTTATTATTCTTTTAATTGTTATCTTTTCATCTGTTTTTTCTCCTCCTGGTACTCTAATTTTGCATTTATCAAATTTTCTGTTTCTCTTCTAAGCCTCTTATTATACATTTTATGATTATTACTTTTTGGTGTTTCTATCATTTTAAATGGTGTTTGTCTATTTCTTATTTCTAACTAAAGAGTTTGGCTTTTAGTACTGTTACTTTTTTTTTTTTTAGTATTCTACTTTCTTTTTTAAAAAATTTATTTTATATACATATATATATATTTTTTTTTTTTTGAGAAGTTTTTGCTATAGAGCGCGTGGGCTCTCCAGAAAGACAGAGAGACAGAAAGCGAGAAATCACCTCCCAGGGGGGATGGCCATGCCACAATCCCTTCTCCTCCATTCTCCTCTCAGGATCTTGGATCTTGGGCACACACTCATGCGCCTGGCGTGAGTTTAAGCCACCAGGTCTGGGACTCGAACTACGGTCAACTACATGGGAGTTCAGCGACATAGCCATTATGCTCACTGCTGGTCCCATTATTACTTCTGCTTTCACCATTCTTCATGTTTATTAATTTGGAATCAGATTTTTATATCTAAGAGTTTTACCTTCTCTGCTTATTTCCTTCCAATGTAGTTTCTGTATGTGTGCATGTACATGCATATGCATGTTTTTAATTTGTTTTATAGGTTTTGTTTGTTTGATTAGATAGCCATTTTTTTCTTACTATTGTTGTCCCCTCAGTCAAGCTAATAAGTCCCTTAAACAAGCTGCGGGGTTTTTAGCCCACCATCCCAGGGCTTCTAGGTTCTTTTTGCACCTTGTGCCTGTTATTACAGTGTTGATTTCTTGGGCAGTTGTTGTCAAGCTATGGGAGGGTAATTTTGTCCTCTTTGCATCCTCGGTGAAGGTTCTGTGGGTGAGATCCTTTCCTTTGGGATATAGAGAGGAGTGAGCCATAGGTTGTCAGTCTTCCAGACTTCAAGGCAGTTGTCTGTGACAGCTAGGACCTTTCTCTGAGCTGAATGCAGCCAGTGGGTAGGGATGTTTTCTCTTTGGTGATCTACGTGTCTTGTTTGCTCCCTCAGATGGCCGTAGGTTCTGCACCTGTTACCCAGAATGCACCTCCCACTTCCCATTCTACCCACTCCTATAAGCAGTGATGCCCAGAGAGGCTCCATGTTAGCCCAGCCAGAGACAGTGGTCCTCTGCACTCTTGCTGCAGGCGACACTATCCTGGATGGCATGCTCAGGTCGGCATATTTCTAGAAAGTGTTCTTAATACAGTTATACAATAACAGTGTCTGTTTAAAACCTAACACGTGAAGGTGGAGGGGCTGGAGGAGCAGTTGCTCACGATCCTTTCAGTGTTCTTGTTGTTACTACTATTGAATATCTTTATTTCCTCCTTTTTTCCTAATACAATATATATAGGTATTTACATACTAAGGTTTTTTTAACCTCAGTCTCTGTATTAGTATGGCAAATAATTTGATTAAAGCTTGAAATCAACTTTTGCTTTTTTTTATGTAGAAAACGAAGACCTATCCAATCAGTCAAAACCTACACAGAATCAAAGTAAGTATCAAATTTGATACAGAGATAACTGATATTTGTGGTTGCTTTGCTGTTTTGCTGTTTGCTGAGAATAATTTTGAGTTGAGTATATTTGGAATCTTATGTTTTACAAAAAGTTTCTTGTTAAAGAATGTAATTAATCATTGCTAAAAGTTGTAGTGATACATTATATACACACAACATGAAATGCACATATTAACTGAATTTAAAAGTAACCTTAGGCCTTATATCCTATTTGCAAAACTCGCAGTGTAATCTAAGTGCTATGTAGCATTGTGTCCACATTCACTTTTACTTTGTGTCATATTGGATACTTCACTATATATACTTATAACAGATAGGATGATTAAAGAAAAATCCTTTCTGACCAATGTTATTTCAGATTCTACTTTTAGATTCAATTATTTGAGTATATATTGAGTATAACAATGTAAAAAAGAATAAGGAGCTCTGAAGGACAAAAGAAAATTGGCAAGTGAAGATGAAATGTTCATGTCTTGTCATGCCTCCAGATGGCAGCAGCACTGGAACACGGATAGGTGCAGTCAGGAGGCAATGCTTTCTGCTGAGACAAAAACCGGCCTTAGTTTTGGCATGGCAGAGTAGCACGTGAATCCAACTGTTGTGCCACATCATCAGAAGACTGACAATGGTGCCTAATGTGTGCCTTTGGGCCAACGGTTTCTAAAGTAGATAACATAGTATGTGGAAATAACATTAAGTGACATGTCAGGACATCCAATTTCTTATCCTGCCTCTGGTGCCACCTCACATTGTAATCTTGAGCAGATCTTTTAACCTCTGAAAAGAAGATTATGGAAATGTCAGCCTTTATATTCAGCTTCATTAACATGTGTTTTTTGAAGGAAATAATTGAGTGTCATGAAGTACCACTGGTAGGAACAACATACATTGTTTTCCTATGCTATGTTAGCATGATTGAGATGTTTTTTGTCCTTTTCAAACAAAAATGAAGGTAAACTATCAAAGGTATAGCTGTTAAGAATTGGGTCTGAAAAACCTGGTTTCAGTTTTGACTCTACCACCAGAAAAGCTGTACGGTCTTTTTATAGGTCATTTAATCACACCAAACCATAGACCGCCCATCCATAAGATGGGGTTTTTAGTGTCTTTCTCAGGGTTATTCTGAGGGCAAATGAAATGATAGACATAAAGTACTTAGCACAGGATCTTACAGGTAGGGTTAGGGTTAATAACCAAATTAGATGACAGACAAGTGACGTTTTTATTAGTATATGTGATTGAAGTTTGGAGGTTTGTTTTTGTTTTGTTTCCTTTTTTTTTTATTGACAGAGGGTGTGTGCACTCACCAGACACACAGAGAGAGAGAACACCCACTACAGACTCACCCCAATCCTTTTTTCTTATCTCTTCTCATCAGGACTTGGGCACATGCATGTGTGCTTCGTTTTCAAGCTGCTGGAGATTGGCTCTCAGTGTCTAGCATTTAACCACTTGTAAGGCTCTCCAACGCAGGCTGCTAAGAGCATTCTAGGATACTGTAGTTTTTCCTTGAGATCTGTCATTAACTACGTGGTCTTTCACATGTAGTTATATAAGAAAAGTCTCAAATGTTTCCCAACCACTGTGTACAAGAATATTTTTTTGTGCATTATTTACAAATGCAAAATTAAGTATATATTTCTTGTGCTTCTGGTTGCTATAAAAAAAATTAAATACAAAAATTTATAAATTAGAAGCCAGCAGGTGGCATAGTGGCTAAGGTGCTGGCTCCCACGTAACCAACCACAGTTTGAGTCCCAGATCCATCTGCTTGAAACTCACAGTGGGTGTATGACCTTGAGTGCTGAAAATCCCACGAGGAGAATGGAGGAGACAGGATTACCATGTGACCATCCCCTCTAGGGGGTGATTTCTCACTTTCCCTCTCTGTCTCTCTCCCTTGGGCACCTGCACACTATGGCAAAACCTTAAAAAAACTTTTTTTAGATGCACATTTATTTTTTTTATAGGTACTCTAAACTTAAAATAATAGTCTGACTTTATAACATGAGTATAAGTTTGTCAGTTTTCGTCCACATTTTGTTGCTAAAACAACTAAAATTTGGTCCAGTATATACCCTTTAGCCTTCATTTAGTTCAAATAATTATGTGTATAAGAGGTCTTTTAAAAGATATGGAAAATGTATATTATAAAAAATTGCTTGGATTTCAGTTTTTTCCCACCAGTATAAACTCACAATAATTCCATTTTCTGTGAATTTTTTGACGTCCCTCACATGTTCTTCACCTCTGTCCTTCATTTCCCCTTCTCCACCCATAATTAACATTGTACATTACTTCATCGACTATGTCGGCTTCTTTATTTAAGAATCTTAATTATATGAGTAGATTTTAAAATGTCTCCATAAAGTATTTCTCAGTTGATTACCACTGCAAGTGGAACATTCTGTTTACTTCTGAAACAAGATGTGGCGTGAGGACAGTCCCAGCCTGCCGTCTTCATTATGGTATTAGCTACCGAAGGCGCTCACTGATACTCGCAGGATCACCTCAGGCAGACGTGGTCGTTGCATTCATTTAGAGAGGGACGCAGGTCATACCCAGGAAGACATATTAATTCATTATCAGGATAAAATATTGCAGCAAACTGAAAAAATAGTGAGTTTATCAAAATAAAAATACTGTAACAAACTCTAGAAATAGTGCTGAGAAGAAGTACCTAGGGGGTTTTGGGAACTGTAGTTTGTACAGTACAACTGTAGTACAACAAACCCTTATTAAATTCACAGGTGCTTTTCTCTGTACTAAGAGTCTAAAGATGAATCAGAGACTGCTTTTGGCCCTAAAGGGGCTCCCAGGACCAACCAGTAAAGATTGGGGTTAGTGTAATATGGTGTGATCAGTATGAGCAAAGGTATGGGGGGGCAGGGGGGTAAACTGTGCAGATGGGCAATCTGAAACATTAAGCTCAAGTCACAGCACGGTAGCAAATAATACTGCAGAGGGGGCATGAACCTTGGAGGCTCACGTATGCCTCTGAAAAGGAAGCAATCCTTGAAAGCTTTTAAGAGGACTGTTTTTTTTTTAATAGACCACAGATTCGTTTGTTTGTTTTTTTGAGTTTTTTGCCATAGGTCGCATGTGCTCGCCAGACAGAGAGAGAGAGACAGAGAGACAGAGACAGACAGAAAGCGAGAAATCACCCCCCAGGAGGGATGGCCACACTTCAATCCCTTCTCCATCCTCCTCTCGGGATCTTGGGCACACACGCACATGCGCCCAGTGTGAGTTTTAAGTC